TAGGTGCGGTATATGAGACCTAAGAATTTAATATTTTTTGATAGGGTTCAAGGCGGATTAAAATTATTATTGCAGAGTATAATTAATTTGTCACTTAATTTGTGACTCATTGTCACTCAGTAAAAAGGTAAGTAAAAAGGAAAAGTTTCTCATCACTTGTTTTTTATTTCATTAATTATTATTTATTTTTCATCACACCTCATTCATTTAAAGAAAAGAATTGTTCGAAGAATCTATAAATTGCCTCAATTAAAATCAAGAAACGCTGCAATTACTGTCAGAAATGTTTTTTAATAAATCAAATTTTTCTTATATGCAAATGTGTACCTTCCTTGTCAGAAGGAATACGAAAACCAAACCGCATTATTAAAATTTGCTGTTAAGGAAAAAGGTTAAGTCACCCTAGAAGTATGCAATAAAATTATAAGTGCTCGTTACTTGCCTTCAAAATGGTTACAAGTGAATCAAAAAGGAGCTTGAAAATTGTTTTTGTGTAACTGCAGCAAAGGCGGTGGTATTTGCCAAATACCACCGTGTAAGGATTTTCTATGAAAAGTAAAATTCTTCCTTTTTAATTTTAAAAATGAAATACAGAAGAGCAGAGGAGTAGAACGAAGCTTTTTATAGGCGTTTTTTGTGCCGACGACTCCATTGTTTCGAAAGCAGACAGCAACATTTGAATTGCTTGTCTGCTGTTTGCTGGGGTAAAACGATGAAATGTCTGCAAAAGTCAAGAAGTCATAAAAATTTTCTTAACAATTTTTTAGTCTAGTTCAGTGGTAGCATTTTTGGACGGTTGTGTTATACGAAGGGCGTTTTAAAATAAACAAAAAATTACACAAATTTGACTTTGCAACTCATTATCCTTGCAAGGTAACAAAAAAATAACACCAAACCGCTGTGTCTGCTTACTTTGATTATTAAAATTTGAAAAGTCGGTAAGGATACAAAAAAAAAAAAAGCAAAAACGATGCAAATAATAAATGAGAGAAAAATATATAGGAGTATGAACTGAATGTTATAGAAATCGATACGTAATGAATACTTCTTTAAGTTTGTGGAACCTCAATTTTTGTTTTAAGCTTTCCATTTTTGGTTTTACAAATGGCAGGAAAGTCGATTTCAGTCATTCTGAATTGAAGTTTGTTGATGGCAACAGTTTCTGACGTTAACCAGACTTTGGATTTAAATTTCTTTTTTAATTTGAATTTTTGTAAGGATATAATTTTTCTTTTTCTTTTTTGCAAAAAATGTTGTTACTATTTCCTTTCCAATCTGCATTCAAAGCAGACAGGTAGATATTGATGGAAGATTTACTTTTAGAAGTTTATAAAAATTTCCACTAACAAAAAACAAATAAGCGTAATGCTTAAGAGAACTGAAATAATTTGGCCTTTCAATTTTAGGTTTACCTTGAACCTTCGAAATCAATTGCTTTGTCTTTTTAGTTTCTAAAGAAACTAAATTAACTTTCCTTAATTTTTTCAACTTATTTTTATCGTTTTTTTATTTCGTATCTACTTTTTCATCAATGAAAATATCTAACTTTGGACAGAGCTTCATATATGCAGAATTTCAAGGATATTCACATCGTTAATATGTACTACTCATTTTTAAAGTTAATTACTTGAAAAAGTTTTAGGTCTTTAAATACAGTAAATCAACGAGATCTAAGAAATATCTCTTGTTAAGTTTACTTATTAATGATTTGAGCATTGGGTGTAGTCAGATGTGGTCTTCATTGATAGTTTCATTGGTTTAGGTTGCTTTGTGTTTTTCTTTTCAGTTTTCAAAAATATTTTCAAATATTATCATAAGTTATTAGAGGACTTTATTTGCCTTGCGTAACGGCTTAAAGACATCACTTCAATCTAACCAAACCTCAGAAGGGAGTTTCTGATCCGCTTTCTGACTACTAGACCGCTAGACGCGAAGATTTCACTAGTAAAATACAAATTTATGTCAGTAAAAAGAATTTGTAGTGACTATGAGACACTACATCCAAAACTTATCTTGAAGTGGAATATTATTGCCAGGTCAAAAAATCCTTATAGTGAAGTTTTCTTTGGGGGAGTTAGTAAGGCCTATAGTTACGAAATTAAAGAAAATTAGCAGTATCCGTAACTTGTCATAACAATTTTATTTTGGAAAAGAATTGTTAATATTGATGAGATTATTTTGTAGATAACATAACATCTAGGTATGTTATGACATGATAATTAAAACCAAGATTAGAATTGTTTAGGCTAGTATTGCCAATACTGAAATTTTAGTCTCATCTACAAACATCGATACAATACAGCTCTCAAGTCGTGTGAAATCAAAGGTACAGATATTGTACAGTACGTAAGAGAGACAGTGACAATTAAAACCGCGGTTAGAATTGAATTAAGCTGAAATTGCCGATGAGAAAATAGTAGTCTCATCTGCAAACATCGATATATCGTAGTTCTCAAAAGTAGTAAGATCAGCGGTATAAGTATGATACAGTATGTGATATGAAGATGACAATTAAAACCTGTGTTAGAATTGCTTAGAGTACAATTACCGATGTTAAAAGTACAGTCGTGTCTACGAAAATCGATATAACACTGTTTTCAAGAGAAGTGTAATCAACAATACAGCCATTAAGAAACGAGAGAAAGATATATAAATAACACCGAGGTTAGAATTGAATACGGATAGAACTGTCGATGATAAAATGGCAGTCTCATTTATAAACATTTATAGAACACAGTTCACAAATCGTGTGAAATCAATGGTATAGATATTGTACTGCACGGAAGAAACACAATGACAATTAAAATTGAGGTTAGAATTAAATTCAGATAGAATTTTCAATTATAAAATTGCAGTCCTATCCGCAAACATCGATATATTCCACTTCGTAAGTTGAATAAAATTAGCAGTATAGTTACTGTACGATACTTGAAAAAGTGGACTTGTTTTTTTACTACCAAAGGATCACAGTCTCTCCTCACACATGACTATTCTACCAATATGTATATTGAGAAACCTACTCATGGGAGATTTTAGCAACAGACAAAGCAGCTATAAGGTTAGCATTAAGTTTACTTTTTATATAGTCAAAGTTTTCTCAGCATTAGTCACTTTTCTTCCTATATTTCTTCCCCCCTGATTACTGCAATATGGTTTCGACTGGAATACTTTTACAGTCTAATGGCTGGGACCTTCTTAACTCATTCCTAAGAGGTGGTTTTTGTCTTTCAGAAAAATGGAAAATTTGAAATGAAGTGGAAGTATTGTATTTGTATATTTATAATCATTATAATAAATATGTGATTTATATGTGGTTTATATATCCCACGCAAATCTCAAACTTCTTATTAATATGTTACATTACAAAATAGCCAATAATATTATAAAATCCCAAAAATCCTTAATTTGACAAAATATTTTCATAAGAAAACCCAAAAACATAATAATAATTTAGCATATTTTATTGACAATAAAATAAGGAAGAGGATGAGTTACTTTCACTGCCTTTTCAAGGACAAATCAACAATATCCGAAAATACACAAATATTGATGAAATTTCAATAAATTTTGGTGAAAAGTAGAAAAGCATAAAATAACCAAGAAAAGCGAAAATTTGTATTTATTCCGCTTCAATAAATTTATTCGCTCATATATTTCCTATTGGGTGGGAAACGAATTTTTTGGATCATTTAATAAAATGAAGTAAGCCAGGACGAAGACGATGGTGATGGCGAAAGCGAATTATAAAAATCAAAAAAAAAAAAGAGAGAAAACGTAATATACCAACGGGTGTGTGCGTCATTTCGTTTCACTCTTAGTGGGTGCAACATTTCCGATTAGGGTAAGTGTTGAGCTATGCTAAGTGGCAATATCAATCATTGTTAATGCACTGTAAAAACTGCTCCAAAATATATAGAATACAATAAATTCTAATACATGTAGCTCAACATACAACATGGATGAATGCGAGAGACCAAATGCAAATACTCCTCGAAAAGAGGAAGCTCGAAAGGATATTAGAGAAACGTGTTAGTAAAATAAACAGCTAGAATTTCTTTGCATATAACAATTTAATATTTCTTATTATATATTATAGTATAATTTATAAAAATTATGCACGCAATAAATTCTTAAGAAAATACAAAAAAAAGAAAAAAAATACTCAAGTGTTGTTCAGATTACGGCCGAAAACAAATTTCAAAAGGATGTGTGTCATCCATTTCAAAGGATATATGCTTTGAAACTGTATGTGGTACACTGTTGGGTGCTATAACCGTACATAGTAGTAATTTATTATGAAAGGCACCGATTTAGGTATAAAAATGTAGAAATTTTCTTAATGAGTATTTGTGTTAATTTTAAATGCTTTGAATATTAATTAAGCGTTTGCTTAGGAAACTCTGGTTTCAAGCAATATTTAATCATTACAATAGGTGAAAGTAGTTGGCTATGGAAATATTAAAATACTACTAAAAATATTAAAAAAAATCACTTTAAGTCTTAAACTATAGCCATAATTATGAATACAATAATCTACAATAACTTATCTAATCGTATTCCATTAAACTGAGTTTAGTTATTTTAACTTGAACTTGTTTTTTAACGTATTTAATGGGTCCATTTAATAACATAACCCCAATAGCTGTGATATTTTGCCTTACTCTGAGATTAAATATGCGTCCTTCATTCTTCGATTTTAAGTGAAGGATTGTATTGACTATGGTAATACAGTCTGTCCAACTGACACAGGCTTTTACAGCCTTTACCGAAAAGAAAGGATTATATATAATCCTAATATATAATCCTAAGGAGCTTGAATTATATATGTAGTACCATATAATATGATCAGTAATTTAAAAGTATGTAATTTGAATTTGGAATAATTTCAGGTAATATATTAAATAAATAAATTCTCTCAAATATATGATAATGAAGTAAATGAAGAGGATACTTTGATTCCTTTTCATTACATATATTTCTAAGTTCATTTCAAAACTCACCTTTCCACTGAGTACTACTCTTGCTGCCGATATTTCACTTGGTGGCACGATTCCGTTTTCTGAACCTAAAGTTTTTATCACGTTTGATAAACCGGAAGGTACAGATAACCCATGTGAATTCTCTGCACGCACCAGGAAGACATAAGAAGTAGCTGGTTTAAGACCCGAAATCTGTGTAAAAAAATAAAATTAAAATTTTTTGTATGTAAGGACTATTTAATTCACATATAATAATTAAAAAAATTAATAATTTTATTTTTGTATGGATAATTTTTTTTTTTTTTTTGTGATAGGCGATAGAAATTTTTTAAATTATAAAGTACATTTGTACCCTTTTAATATATAATATCAGCAAAAAAGTATGATTTCATACTGATTTAAATTTTTTATGTATTTCTTTTTATTTAAATATAGAACAAATAATGATAAAATAAATTTTAAAATATATATTTACCACAATTTGTTGATCAGGCACTCGGTGAGCAGCAATCACCCAACCAGTTTGCAAATCGGAACTGAAGTACTCCACGGTGTATCTGTAAATGTATAGTAAAAAATTACATATTTTTGATACCGATTTAATGATAGTTTTATATAAAATTAATTGTTTATAAAGAGTATTTTATTAAAATATTTTAAAATTAAAATAAATTATATATAAATAAAATGTTCTATCGCAACATAATTTGGATGTTATCAGTGTAATGTGAGAAAAATAACCGGAAAAAGAAATATTAAAACTAAATGCTTATTCTTGAATATAGAACATATAGTAGGTGGTCCGTGATATGAGACAGTATAAAACTATTTCATTCGCTAGAAATCTTAATTCACCAAACTTCCAATATGGGTCACAGAAATACTAACAAATGATATTCACTACCTAAAGACACTTCTTTTTGAGGTGAATTTGTAATGATTTGTACTGTGGCAAACACGGTTGCCACTTGAAAATTTTTTCCTGTACCAAAATTGGTTTAAAAAGGTACCATTTCTGTAAAAAAAGGTCCAACATTTTTTTGGACCTTTTTATTTTTTCGTCCTGTGTTTTTCATAGTGTTATAAATGAACAAAATATAAAATAGTGCAAAGTTGCATTTATAAAAAAAATTAATTGGAAATATCCACAATAAAGTTGGGTCGTCAAACATGTACCATTTTTTGAACATGAGTACCAAACGAAAAAAAAAGTACCAATTTTGGTACTAAAGTGCCATAAGTGGCAACCGTGGTGGCAAATGCTGTATTCACCACTGTTCCTTTTGATAATCGATTACTATCATTTGCTCTTTCTCCTTAATTGTTCTTTTAAGAATTTTTTTACAAATCAGTTAGTTATTTTGTAAAAATTCTTTATTTAATTTATTATCTTTGTGCAGTATATATACCAAATCAATGACCCAATGAGGACATTCTGCAATACTATTGCAGATATTGCTGCTGGGTTCATATATGTGTATATACTTTCTCTACAACACCCAGTGACATGGACCTGTGCAACACTTAATCTATTACTTTTCGAACCCTGTTCAACTTTCTCTAATATCCAGTGATCATTTTTAAAGAACCAGCGTGGTTAACAAGAGTTTTGATTACAGTTTGAGTTTCATTGGAAATGTTGATATATGTATTTTCGCAAAGCGATTTATCACTGACGTTATTGATATGATTTTTATTTAATAACATAGGTCAATTCATATCCATTTGTTTATTTTTGATATTTGACTTAAATTCTGTAGTACACAATGTTAAGGATTTTTGGATTTGTGAAGTATTAGCAAAATAATTTTTAATGATATCCTTTTATATATAGATATATATCTGTATATATATCATCGGTGTTTATTCATACACCATACATATACAATGATAATTCACTCTTACTTCTTAAACAAAATAATTTCTTGTAAAAATCAATTAAATCTAAGGGTCTCAAACGAACTTCCTCACGTACATACATTGTGACCGAAAGGTTTTCGGAAGTTCTCATTTAAAATTCGCGCGCTGTATATTTTTCGATATTTTAGTTATGTTATTGGCAGCACTGTCTTACTATGCTCAAACAAATGAGGCGCGATCTGTCAGACAGTTTTGTTTACGGCAGCTGTTGAAACCAGTTCCCCTCAGTAGTGCGTTGCGAAAAAACAATGGAAAAAAATATTGAACAAAGAGTTTGCATCAAATTTTGTGTTTCGAACGAAATTTCGTGTGCAGAATCGTTGCGAATGCTACAAAAGGCTTATGGGTAATCAGTTTTATCGAAAACTCAAGTTTATGAGTGGTACAAAGCCTTTCAGGACGGTCGTACGACCGTCGAAGACATGCCGCGTTCTGGACGACCTTCGGCCTCTACCACCGACGAAAACATTGAAAAGGCAAAGGAAATCGTGTTCCAAAATCCTCATGTGAGTGTTAGAGAGATAGCACGAGAGCTAGGCATCGGTCGTGAGAGCTATCCGCCGTAAACGGCCTCAATTGTGGAAGGATAATTCATGGATTTTTCATGACGATAATGCTCCCTCGCACCGAGCCAACATTATCAACGATTTTAAGGCCAAACATTCAATAAATACCATCGAACAGCCACCGTATTCACCTGATCTTGCACCGTGTGACTTTTTCCTGTTTCCCAAACTCAAATTACCACTCAGAGGAACGCGTTTTGAATCCATATAAGACGTAAAACAGAATTCGCAGAGGGAACTCAAAGCCATACCGGAAAGCGCCTATAAAAAATGTTTTGATGATTGGAAGAAACGTTGGCATTTGTGTATCGCTTCTAATGGAGCATTTTGAAGGAGATAAAATAAATATTGATGAAGATTAAGAATTTTGCGTTTGTACATTGTGACCGGAAACTTTTCGGTCACAATGTATATAAAGATATATGCGTGTGTCTACATATACCATTGGTGTATAATCAGACTCACTTAAAGGAAAATTTCGGAAATCTAATTTAAAGTTTATATTCAAAACATTTTATTATAAAAATCAATTAAACCTAGTGTCAGTCAAATGAACTATGATATTTCAAGAGGGACTGAAACCCCGAAATATCTTCTCTTCATATGAATCGCTATACATCTCAAAATACGAAACTGTAAATACTGATGACTTTTCATTTTAAATATTTAATAAAAGTAAGAAAATCATATTGTAATTTAAATCTAGAAACATGAAATGCATTAATGAAATGCAGAATAATAATTCTTTTGTGGATGTTATGGTTTTGAAGTTGATGACGCCAGTTATTTGTAAAATGGGGCGAACTGCAAACCTCCTAAACATCTGCGTTAGGCAAAAACTATTAAATTTCAAATTTCATATGTTCTACTTCACTCCACTCCACAGCTGTTCTAAATTTTTTTTTCTACTCCTATTTTGAAGTAGTGGAGCAAAAAAAAATTTTTTTTTGGTGCCTTTAGAATTTTTTGGTGGAAAAAATAAGAAAAAGTGGAATAAAAGCGCATCCTATGCAATGTATACTCTTACATTGTGAACATATACCGCTTCCCTGTTACCATTACCGTCCATTTGGCAAATAATAGTGTAGTGCAGCAGCCGCTCTGGGGCTTTTTACAGCTTCTTCTCTTTGATTAGCGTCGGCTTTGGTTTTGGCTTTTGGATACGGTTGTGGCAACAGTTTTGGTTTAGCTTTGTATCATTTACTCGCGTTTGGGCTTTCAATGTCGGGAACAGTTTTGGTTATAGCTTTTATGCTGTAGGTATAGGAAGCGATGGATGTTGCTATGGTAAATATATAACAGCCATGTGGCGCAGTGTAGTGCAGCTTGGCTTGGCTTGCCATGGCGTGGCTTAGCATGACTTTGGTCATTTTCAAATTTTTGGTCATGTTGCATGCAATGCGATCACAATAGTGTCTGCACTTTAAATAATGAATCTACACTCTGTACGGTTATAGTTATGTGGTATATAAAATATACAAAAACAACAAAACAATAACAACAACAGCAGAAAATGAAAATAATAGCGATTTTTATTGCAGCTGTGCTAGGCGAATAATTCCTTTTCGTATTGCATTTGCTGCATTTGTTGCATTTGTTGCATTTGCTGCATTTGTTGCATTTGTTGCGTTAGGCGAAGTGCCTCCTTTTTTTGTATTGTTTAGCGGTCAAGCGCATATTTTTGCGGAATTTTTTCCTTATTGCATTTGGATTTTATTTTTTTTTTTATTTTTTGTAGATTGTCGATTGCGAAGTTTAGATTTTAGCTAAATTAGCATAATGAAAAAAACGATATAAGAATGTTTTTCGCGTTTTTTCCAGCCATTTTACTTGTAATTTAGTAAATTGAACCGAGTTGCTGAAATATTTTTGACCATCGTTAAAATATTTGCTGAGGCAATTTAAAATGTTTGGCATTTAGAAAGGCTAAAAAATTTTTTTTATTTATTTTTATTTTTTTTTTGTTTTTGTAATGACCAAAAATTGTTTGCATTTGATAAGCACACCTTTTCCTGAAGAAATTTTTAGTAAGTAAATTTTTTCTCTTTTATTTTACTGTAGGCATGCGTCATTAAACTTTATGGGTTCTAATATATTTACTCATATTTTGTAAGTAAAGGGTTAAAGAATATAAACAATTTTAGATTTTATTATACAATAAGTACTTTGTAGTTGATTTGTAGGTTACTGTAATATTATAGACTATGCTATTAGACTATAGACTATGGTATAGTGCGCCAATAAACACACTATTGGAATTCTAAGGAATGCTACAGGTACCAATTGACTCTTAAAATTAGTTTATAGTTTCCTGCGTGTTGGGGAGCGAGGCCTATCTAACAACTTTGATGATCTTTGATCCACAACACTCGGTTTAAAATGCAACTTCACATTGAATGTAAGTTAATTAATACTACACATACTACCACTACACTTTATTTAAGAAGCTAGATAAAGTCCTGAGTTTTTTAACGTGATTAGCTGCAGTAAGGTTTTAACACACATATCGATATAACGCACCAATAAACATTAGAGCTTCAAGAAATTTTGCTGATATATGTTCAAGCTATATTTTTTGATACAGTTTCCTTTTCGGGAAGGACTGAAGCTTTTTGCATCCTTCATGTTTCTTAGTCCACAGCAACAAATAGGAGAATGCGTTAGAGTTTTAAAAAATTTTACTAGTATCTGTTGAAGCTGTACGTTTGGATACACATTCGTAATTGGGAAGTAAGGAAGCTTTTTGACATCTTCCATGTTTTTTTGGTCAAAGCACCGAGTTGAAAAATGCAACTCTACACTGAATGAAAGCAAATTAATATAGTCATTCTAACTGTGTAAATTGGGGTTTCAATTACAGCCACCAGTACACTCTATTTAAGCAGTACACTTTACCTGCGTTGATACAGACAGTCAAAGTTGTGGATCATAGCCCCCATGGTACCACATTAACACACCCAGTCGGGTGCCAAAAATGAAACTTGTTCAAATCACACAGTACAAGAAGTTGCTTAATGGTATTCAGTTGCCTTATACGACAGGAATGTCTTATCTCGTCTTTTAAACAACTATCCATTATCATCAACAGAACTTGGACTTTTGAACTTTCGAAAACATCACAAGTACGCCAAAGACAAATACACATTGGGGATTGTAAGAAAAACCACGCATCGGAAACGCCGAAGAAATCACCAACAGAGCAGCGTCTAAGACAAGTAATTACATTTAGAACATTTTCACATTTACATCAACCAAAAAATTTTACTGCACTATATATATAGCATTCATAATCATCCACTGCTTCATATTCAGGCGTGAATACGTAACCCGGAGAGGCGAGTTGCTAACTTTTGTTATTTTCGTCTACTACCCTGGTTAAACTATTTGGTTTTCAAGATGAAGTTAAGGATATTCGATTAGTTTACTTTCGTTGTCTCTGCCAGCGCAGTGAAAAAGCTAACCCTAAAACATTGAAGTTGCCCTGTCTGTACTACTGGACAGAAATACGGGAAGTAGTTAATGGATTCTACTTCCTCCTTATCTTGGTAAATGCTATATAATCCATTTGTTGGAAATCACCACCATTGGAGCAATGGCACAATAACTAGTTAGTTCTTCAGTAAGTAGACGAACTGCAGATTTGCTGAAGCCCAAACGACTTTTCGTTTTATTTTTGTCTAATCTAGGCTATAAGGTTCTAGTGACCTCTCAGTCTTCGCGATTAGCCTATAAATTATTTGTCGCCGTATTGGTAAATTCTTTTATGATCCTAAAGAGTTTGCACATCGTTGCTCGTACTGAGACGTAGGCCTTACTTATATGCAATTTAGAACTTCTTTTGGTTATCTCGTCTGCTATTTCATTCACTTCAATATTGCTATGTTCAGGAACCCAGCAAATAGTGACTTTGTGTACTAATAGCGGAAACTTGCGTCTACACTAGGTAGATGTTAGCAATGTTTTTACAAATATTCTCATTTACATAAAAATCATATTCGTAGACAAAAGCGTTATTGTGTACATATGTATTTGCTTTCGAAAGTAAAAATCTTGCTAAATTCTGAACAGTGTGTGTAAACACCCAGTTACTACTCTTATTATATGTATTGATTAATACTACTTGAGTCATTTACTGTTTGATTTGGTTTTTGCGACTTTACATTCTTATATGTATATAAGATATAAGATACAATTTTAAAACCAAATAAATTGATTTCATTTGCTTATTTTAGAACCACAAACATTGTTTGAATAACTTAGTTCAACTTTATTGAAATACATCAAAATCAAATCGAGTATAAACACATTTGGTGAAATATTTAAAACAAAAATAATAAATAAATTATTTAAAATATTTTCATAAAACATATGTACATTTCAGTGTTTCAAATTGAAATAAAAACTAACTTTTAGTCCAAAAGTAGTGGTGACAATAAATATTTGTGTTGTATGTGCAACAAATACTTTTTGAATATTTTTGTTGAATTGAAACAATAAAATATTTAACAATTTTGCACATGTTTTAAAATGTATGTACATATTTACTTTATAAACTAATTGAACTAACCAAGCAAATCGAAAATGCAAGAATAATAAAAAAGATACTCAACAGGGTAGTGGCTTTCCCTGGTTAGAATATTATATTTTAGCAAAAAGTATATTTTTTAAATTTTTAAAAATTCATTATAATAGGATAAAATTGAAAAAAAATAATAAAAAAATATTAGAAAAGCTTTAACTTTATAGAAAAATTTTAAAGGCTTTTTTTCATAAAACTCTAAGCCAAATTAAGTCAAGAACGACGTACTGGCAATAAACCAGTGCTGTGTTCGGGCGTGAGTTTCTACTCAAAAAAGCAAAAAAAGGACTATGCCGGACTTATAAAAATGTAGGAAATGTTTACTTTCCAATAAGTTCTTTATTCTCCTTTTTTTTAGTAATATTATTTTTAAGCTTATTTAAAATGCACACGTTAAAAACTCACCAAAGCATTCAAGCGACTAAAAAAGTTTAAATTTACAATACAAATAAAACCCTCGGCGTGCAATAACTACTACAGCAAACTAACTGAAGTACTTACATTCAGTTTATACTCTATAGTATATATATATAAGAGTAAATATAAATATATATATATGTATATATATATAGGAGAAATCACTCACCCAATAATTGGAGTTGTTGCTGCAGGCTTCTCTTGACTTCTGGTCCAACGTAATAAAATGCTGCGCTGTGTTACGTTCACAACTTTTGGTGTTCCTGGTGGTGCTGGGTAAGTACTTGGATCGGCAGAACGATGAAGTATTGATGAACTGCTTTTTTCCACCTGATGTTGCCAATACACATACAAGTACCATGGAAAAATATTGTTAAATTGCACATAAGGACGTTGTTGTTAGTATTAATAAGAATGCAAGGATTTTCGTTCCGTTTGGTATTGCCAATCGTAGTCATGACGATGTCGATGACGATGATGATAATGATGAGGATGATTATAAGGAAGGTATACCACCATGTTAATGTTGTAATAATGTTTGTAATTTAAGCATGTCGAAATGTAAAATAAAGAAGAGAAAATTGTATAAAAGAAGTATTATTTTAATTATTTACATTTTATTTAACATTTTCGTTTGCAAACCAATATAGTTAATGTCGCCAATAGCAAATACTTTTAATTGATAGTCATGATGTTTTTCTTTTTGGACTTTAATTAAATGCATTTAATTTAAATATATATTTAATTAAATTTTTTTTTTATTTTTGTTTTTTTTTTTTTGGTAGAGAGGTTTCGAACAGTAGTTAACTACAATAACAAAAATTCTTTTTTATATTATTTTAATTAATTGAATTTTTGATTGAATTGACTGCTGTTTCGAATATTGCCAAATAACCAACATCAATGGTCTTTAAATTATTTCTTGTATTTAAATATTCATAAACAAATTTTTGAGACTGCAAGTACTAGGGATTGAACTCGTGCCCTGCCAAATTTGAGACTCAAAGTCAGCGTTCATTAGTCAACTGACCCACTGAGTTATGTTATTTGAATTTTTATAAGTTTGATAGTACCGTATTGCTTATTACATATTTATTTTAATTTAAATAAAATTCACTGTTTAACTATTGAATTGAAAATCAATTTAATAAATTAATAGACATTTAAGCTAGTAGGTAGGCGTGCAGAACTGACTAGCCTGGATCAGGCATAGACTTGATAGATTCATAACAATATATATTTATAGTCTGTAGAAACAGTTAATGACGATAGACATGCGTTCGGATTTGTGTGTCATTAGCGAAAGAAAAACAATCCATTAACATGGACAAAGTTTGAGAGGATCAGACGTAAAGTGAAGAGATAACCCAAAACTTTATTGATGCTTAAAACTTCTTCAGTGAATATCTGATATATTTGATTTAAAATATACGACATCAGTAGGAAAATTCTAAGGTTGATATACAGAAAACAACACGATTAAAAAATTCTTATGTCTTTTAAAAAAGGGTTATAGATGTTCCCAAAAATTATTGAAAAAATTATTATTATGTTTGGTTGTATCTGAAGCTGCTGTCCTAGAACGTACATATTTTTATAGTAAAAAATTATTATTTTAAATTTTATTATTTTAATAGCCATAAAATTTCAAAAGTTGAATTGATCATAGTGAACTCAATAATAAACTAAAAAAATTATTCAAGTTGACAGTTTTTAGTTTAAAAATGTAAAGAAAAGTTGAAACAGAAATAAAATTTAAAAAAATAAAATTAACATCTAAAATTGTTTTTCAACATTTTCGTACCAAAATTTGATTTGATCTTTCATATCAAAAATTTTGCAAAATGTCAAATATTTAAAAATGTTTCGCAATATAATAAAATTTTTCAACCCCAAGCAATATCGCAAGTAAATACTTCTTATATAAAAATTTAAGAATTTTTTTATAAAATAATTTTATAGACCCAAAGTCAGTAACAGCGTATCTGGAGTTTTCAATGAACCCGTCATACATATCACAATAAATGCAATCAGACAGGTAAGAGTTGCTCATATGTGCAATACTAATTTATTTATAATTTTTCACTTAACATAAAAGCAACAAAATGAGATACAACTTATGAACGATCGACTGACTGCAGAGCATGAAAAATGGCATGCATTGGTTTTGGAAAATAAGAAGTATCTTGCTGCAATGGATCAACCGGACCGGAAGGATATCCGATCACATAAGCCCTTAATTGCAAGAACTGGCAAAGAAACTAACGTTTCCTAAAAATTATATATAATAGTTAAGTAAATATGTATAATCTATTGCGTTTTTTATGTGGGTTCATCTGTTACAACTGATGAAGAGTACATTCTTGCTCAATATGAGCGGGGAGAACAAATAACTGACTAGCAGCAATGCAAAGGAATGTAGGGGTACAATATGGAAAGGAATGCTGCGTTTATACATAAAAAAAAATTTTTATATTTTTAAATATTTACATTTTTTAAACAAAACAGTGAGATAATAGATCTCTTTTTAGTTTTTTTTTTTACATACAATAAAAAGCACTTTTACAAACTGTTTATTAGTGTTCTTAATAATACGAGTATCTTGAACATCTCAGCGAGTTGAGTTGATTTAGTCATATCCATCTGTCCGTATCTATATTTCATTTTGAACTAATCTTCTTAATCGAACATACATACTTTTTTGATATATGAAAAATGTTAAAATTATCCTGATTATTTGTCGGATTGTCCTAAATCGTGGAACTTTATTTTACAGCTGTTATATAAACTAAATAATTGAATTTTTTCCATTTTTTATTTTCCGATCTATGTACTCCATATTTGGAACGTAAGTAAAATTTATAAAACGTAGTCTGTGTAAAAAAAGTGGTCGGATATAAACGGATGAAATGTTTCAATAATAAAATTTGATCGGTTCAGATTCAGTTTTATTATGTTGAGGCTAGTTGAGTCAGTGCACTTGAGCACTTTTACTCTCTATTAACTACAAGATTTCATCATAACTCCTCTCTACGTATTGACTGGATTATTGTTTATCACTTCATCAGACTAAGCAATAACTGACTTCAGATCTCCATACCTCCCCGAGGAACCTGTAACCATTCTGAGATTCGATAACGCGGTGTTGGTAAGCCAGTCAGTTTTCGTAAATAATTTGAGGGTTCTATCCTTAATGTTTTAGTTTATATATAAATTTTCTATTTAAAAATATGTTTTTCATAGATAAAGTTTATTTTTCAATGCATTTATTTTTGAGAATTTAGGTATTTGCTATAAAAGGAAATATTTTTGGCGAAAATTATATAGATTAGTTCAGATTTCAATATAGTTGTCCTATAAAGAGATCGTCTTATATTATGAAAATATATTCTTTATTAATGTTTTACCTAAGTATGACTTTTTATTCGATGCATTGGATAATACAAATGTTCTACACCAAATTTTTTATGAATATTTCGTCTATTTTTTTATCTTTAACCAATTGTGTAAAATGTATAAGTGTCGTTATTTTTTCATTCTAATGTGTTAACATATGTTTTCCTAACATAGTAATAAAGAGATAAGTTTAGTTAATTTGAAAATGTATCTAAAGTTCTGCAAGGGTAACATTTTTATTTGTTTTTACTTTACTTCATACATTGTTGTAAGATACATCCATTTCGCAGTTAATTTATTGTTGTTTATTTCTTATCTTATAAAATCAAAGCATATCAGATATATAGTATCTTGAGTCATTATTAATGAATTTCTTCTTAACTTCAACTTAATGATTTTATGTAAGCTTGGTACATTCATTGGAATTAACTTTCAATTACCAACGTTCAGTAATTTACCATAAATTGTTTGCATATTTAAGCTTAAAAATCATAACTCATGTCATATCATGTTTTTCAGTAATTTAGCTTACATCGATTTTAAAAGAAAAACCAATTAATTTTATTTAAGAAAAAAGAAACAGCAAATTTTTGATTGATGTTGATTGCAGCCCAAACCAAAAGGCAAAGGTTTGCTGTATGTTGCTACCATTTTTGAGATACATTCCAACTTAAAACTACGCAAAAAAGTCATAAATAACAATGAGTTTGGCAGCAATGCACTTGATAAATTAATATGCAAATTGCTGTTGCCTGATTGCATGAGACCACAATTTAAGGAGATTTCCTCTTGGAACCAACTGCAGGCGAAACTGTCTGTCGGTCCGTCTATAAATAGGTTAGCAAGCTGGGGTTCAGTAACATAGTTTAACTGAATGAAATTAAATAATTTAGTTAAATTGAAGTACTATGTTTATAGTTAAAAGTAAAATTTAAGTTATTATAAACTAAATAATATATATTTTTTCTAAGAACTATAGAAACTCTAGAATTAACACAAAAATCTTTAAAGTGCAATCCTTAGTTCTTACTTAGTTTTCAATACTATTGCACTTGCATGAAAACTTTGTGGGCAGTGCATGCATCGATACGCATTGCATTGAATTAATGTTGCATAAATTTCAGTGAGAAGCGTTGGAACAACTATTAAAGTGCAGTAAAGTCTCAATAAATTCAAGATTTTATGCTTTTCCATAGCAACTCCAGAACAGGTGCTGTAAACTGAAGTGCAACAGGTTAATTAAATATCGGAATATCGATAAGTGTGCGTTGGAAGACGTAAATGTGAATTTATGTTAGCAATCATTTTCACATATTACGACCCTCAAGTAGCTCTTTAGTAGAGTCTCACACTGGGTGTTATTCACAGAACACAATTGTACTTAAACAGTGTAACTGCTCCAGCGCAAACAATGGGGCGGTGACAATATTAAAATGTACTCGAGATACTATGAACAGGTAAAGATGCGTGAATCTCATAAAAAATGTGAATGGGTCGGAAATTATTTTTTAATTTGTACCATTCAAGTCTCATGGAATATTAAAACGCCTTCTTAGAAACATAAATACTTTATAGCTGCTGTATTAATGACATGAATATTGTTTGTATCTATACTTGATGAAATAACTTAATAAAACTGTTTAAAATTGCTTTAACAAAACCATAAAATGACACGTAAAGATAATATATTCAAGTAAGCAACAAATAAAGAAAAATATATTTTTCGAAGATACTTTAATATACTTGTAATTACTTTTGAATATAAGCTTTAAGGTATATACATAACGTAATATATATTATTTCTGCCTAATATATTGGGTTGTATATATTTTATTTTATACAAAAAATTCAGAAATTTGTATTTAATGTCGCAGAAAAACAAATATCCAACCGCTATTCAGAAATGAAAATCTCAATGCTAAACACAGGAAGTTGATATATAACCAAATAATTCGTTCGTCACTTCTATATGGATGTGTAGGGTTTACCAAAGCTTCAAACACTACTGTTCACCAGCTAAAAATTGCACAAAGTCGGGCTCTGAGAAGACTTTTTAAAGTACCATGGTACATTAAGACGAATGACATTCTGAGAGACCTCAAGATTGATCCCATCAAAAAATACATAAAGGATAAAGCCCTGAAATTATTTGCGAAAACTGACAGACTTACCAACATCGCGTTATCAAATTTCAGAATGGTTACAGGGTCCTCGGGGAGGTATGCAGATCTGAGGTCAATTATTGCTTAGTCTGATGAAGTGATAAACAATAATCCAGTCAAGGCGTAAAGAGGGGTTTTAAACATACCTCGAGTTAATACAGAGAAAGAGTGCTTAAGTGCAACATTATTAAATAATAATTTATAATATTTATATTTATTTAAAATATTTGATTTACTAAAATTTTCATTAAAATTTTTATTTATATGGAAAATATTTGATTTACTAAAATTTTCATTAAAATTTTTAACCCACTCAAATAAATAAAGAATATTGATAGGGGCATTCAACCGATTTTATTTATATCACTAATTACCTAACACCTATAAAGCAATTAGCAATAAATATATTTTCCGTGACATGAACCAATTTGTCTTGACTAAATTTAAATGCAACAACACGTCTTAGCTGTCAAAAAGAAGAACCATAAATTTGAGTGATTTCATGAATTTTTATACCAATACCCATAAAATACTTCAATCTTTAAATAAATTGAATGAAATGTGAATTTAAATATATGTATATATATATGCACTTAGTACATATTTACACATATATGTGTATATGTCAATATATATATTTATATGTACTGGAATAAATATTACCAATATATGTTTTATGATCTCTTTGTTTAGAAATAAAATATGGAGTCAACTTATAAAGCAGTCAAAAACCATACAAGATCACTTCAGATGAGTCAGCACTTCCCATAAATGAAAGGTAAATATTAACAGAAGAGCACTTGCTAATGATCGTGTTCTAGAAATTTTAACAATTTCGTAAACAAAATGGATAAAGATATTTAAAAAAAAATTGGGATAATATATATACGAATGAAGTGTACTACTTAAATTCAGTAAATATGCCAACAAGTAAAAACAATATCTAAAGTAAACTACATTCGGTATATAACGACTTGAAGTTCATTTCGAAGTACACACTTTAAAATAAGCAAAAGTCTAATTGCCACGTAACAGCACTATAAAAGGTGAAGAAGTACCTAAGAAATGAACTGTCAATCAAAATCAAATTACTAGTGTACGGCATCAATAAAGTGGAAAAAGAATATTACAAGAAATTGAAGAAGTATATAATTTACGAAGAAAAAGTGTTGATACTACATAAAACTTTAAACAGACATGCTAGCAAGACGTGGTGTTTTAGGTAACCATTTGAAACAACTAAGGACTTTGGGAATATTGCTGACAAATGATGAAAGTTGAAAAGACAGCAATATGCAAGCATCTGATCGTAAGTTGGCCGCATTCGATTAAGAAAAAATCCAGCACTCTCATTAAGATGCCTCGTTAAAATATCAGTCTTGTGATGGGTTTATATATGAGTCGCAGCTATGTCAAAACTATGTTTAAAAGATTGTATTGTCCTATTAATCATTACTGCCGAACTTATGAAGACGTCGATGACATAACATATCATGTACATATAATATATAACAACTATTAATATAACTTTAATTACATTAACGGCGTTGTTTTTCTAGAATGTTGGCCTAAGGCCTATGGTTTTTGAACCAATGACTTCGTGTACGGCTTAAGTGGATTATTGGTATTACAGGTGTAACGTAACCTAACATTATTGTAAATAGTTTCAATACTAAACATTTAGAAAAAACATTACTTGCTAAGCTAATTACTTGCTAAGAAAAGTTTAGCGAAACAAAATTAATATGACATATTCTCTGACATGTTGACATATATTTCAGATATATTCTGTAAATTAATCATTATCCTCAAAATAGACAACAAATACCTACAGCTAGGCACTCAGTAGAGAAGTCTATGTTTATGTTGCTTTCATTCACTATGGATCTCTAAGATGTTTCTAATACATGATTTAATTATCAAGCTTTTACTGATTCGAAATCTATTTGTTTACTAGTCACTACTTTATATAGGTGTGTTTACTAACATTTTTATTTATTACTACAGCAGTAAGAAGAATTTTTATTACAAATTGAAACTAGCGGAACATAAATCAAGCAGCATTAACAGTGAATGTCGGAAGAATGAAGTTCAATAAATCGGACGTACACTATTTGATATAGTTATTTAGCATTTCTCTGATATTCGGACGAATATTATGGTTAAAGTCAAATTTTCAAAATAAATTATAAGTTTAATCAAATGTGATAATTCTTCTCTTTCTTAAATTGATTTATAATATTAATAATAGTATGAGAATCAGAATTTTAAAAATATTTTTTTTTTATATATAATCTGTAGAGAGGTTTCAAACTGTATTGAACTACAACAACAAAAATTATTTTCATATTATTTTAATTAATTAAATTTTTTGCTGTTGCGAGTATTGCCAAATACCCATCAGCAGTTGTCTTGGAATTATTTCTTACTATAATATATATATAATTATATTTACATAATTAATTTATTAGTTATAGAACTTATAAACTTGAAATCAATTAAAAAAAGTAATCGAAGAAAAAATAAGTGTTTATTTAGAAATCATTATTTCTTCTACCTTATTACTTCCATTTGTGGACTGAGTATTGAATCACATCTACTAAACTATTACTTATGAATTTCTATTATGTGATAAGTTAAACATGTCAACCAAAATTATAGCGCATATAATTATTGCTTTTGTTGTGTCAGGTATTTTAGCTTGAATATAATGAGTACGCATTGTACGATGAACACATTTGAATACATGCGTGCCTACTTGAAGCTCATCAATTGGTTCTTTTAGTGGACTTTATTGTTACTCAATGAATACTTGTCTTCGAAAATCTGTTTTCATTATTCAGAAAACATACATATACGAAATATATATATATATATATATATATATATATTGTAGTATATAAATTTCTGTAGCTGTTGCTTTTACTGTTGGTTGCTTCAAGATGTTTCAATAATTGTGACTGTGGGCAATAGCGTCCAATTTTTTCACAATTATGATCATCACAAAATTACATTAAAACGAAACTTAGGAATATCTTTATGCCATAAAAATGGAAATACATTTTTTATAAAATCTCTACTTGCATCGCTACCATTCCCGCTTTCACCGATTTGCTTTTGTTTGTGTTGTTGTATTATGTTGCGCAACTCATGCAGTTGCAGGCGTGCAGACATAACTATTTTATGTAGCATTTCTGACGTGCATATCATTCACTACAATCCCGCGTTAGACTGAGTTATTGCTGTTTTATTACTTCTCGCGAATTCTTTGAAGAGAATTCAAGATTGTAAACAATTAAAAAATATTTGTATTGAAATGCTAGAAGGAATTATGCATAATAAATTTTCAGCAATAAAATTTGTTTATTTTAAGACAAATTTCAAGAATTAAGTTATCTCTCATTCAGTTGATTTCGTACTTCTGGTACGGGTACTTAGCAAAATGGTTTCATATTCGCACTAAAACCAAAGAACATTTCATTTCGTTCTTAAATTAGATACGTGTGGGACGTTTTATTAAGGGACGCTTGGCTATTATCCTATGAAACAATTGTATATATACAAAATTAAGGAAATATAGCAACGATAACAAATAAAAGTTATCAGTAGTAATCTAATGAATTAACTTAATTTAAGAGATCTTCAAATTTAATGTATTTTCTCAGTAAAATATAGCTTAGTAGCTTGTTGACTTGAAATTTATTTCTTGCTAATTTATCAGCCCCTAAGTTATAAATAACATCGAAAATATTTATATGGAAAATTCCCAAGCAAACGGCACTTTTATTCGCTATTTATTATTTCTTACACTTTTTGTCGTTTTTGCTGTTAAAAACACTATGAGACACTTAATACTCTTCTTCAATATTTTAAAGATTTCAGGTTAATTTGAGATTTTTGTACAAATCTACAACTCAGTTTTCTCTTAGACAATTGGGCTCTTGACAATAATGGGTTAAAGTTAAAAAACTGAGACTTTTTTATTAACCCTTTAAAAATGATTTCTGTATTAAGAATTACGATTTTCTTGTCTTTAGCAAACTATATAAATATTTTTATTTTAAAATCCATTGCTAAATTCCTATCCTTCATTATAAAGGAAGTGCTTTTTCTAATATTTCTCAATATTATCCAGTCGAAAGAAAACTGATTTTTAAAAATTATTTAAAAAATCTCTCCAATTTAGAGGGAATGTAGGAAATTTTGGGAAGGATGACTTTTTTATGAATTTATTTATAGCAAAGATTGCTAAAGATAATAAACTCGTAACTGTTATAATAAACATTTTTTTTTACTCAATTCCAATTTTTTAACTTCATTTAATCATAATTTTAAATTTATTTATTTATCGCTTAGATTTAATTAATTTATTATATTTGTACATTATTTTATTTAAAGTATTTCTATTTTTTTCTTTATTTCATATATTTTTTTATTTTAATTTATTTTAGTATTTAATTACTGCATTTATTTTTAGTGCTAATTTTATTTTTTTTATATAATTAATATTTTTTTTTGTATTATTAATTCAATAACTTTTATATTTTATTTACTGTTAAGAGTTTTATGTCCTGTACCTAAAAATCCATTGCAAATAGAAATATTTTTATGTTATATGTAATGTTTCTACTGCAGCTTAAATAACATTTAGTAATCAAATTAAGATTTGGTCGTTTCCATTGGCATAAGTTAATTATAGCATGTGAAAGAAAGTTATATTCAAGACTGTTTAAAAATAGTAAACACAAATTTGTCCATCTTGCCCATATATATATGTGTTATTTTTATGACTATATTATTATTTATTAATTATTGTTATTTATTTGTGAGTTAACACTAAAATAATTTTTAAGTTAACTAAGAATAAGGAACTGGACTACTAGGTTTTTAGCTCTATGTTTTATATTTATATGTTATTATTTCGTAGGCTTTTATATTTATTTGTTTTGACATATTATATCAATATTTTTTTAATCAATTGCTTTTTATTTACCTTTTTTATTATTATTTTTATTTGTATTTGACATACATATTGTATTTGACATAATTAATTAATTAATTAAGGTTTTTATTATATTTTAAATTATTTTTTTCTATTAGCAATGTTTTTATTGTGTTGCAAAGTCCAATGTTAGTTATTTGAAGAGTCTTAAAACTTACCGTCAAAGTTGCCGACCAAGAAGTTTCGCCACTTTCCGAAGAAGCAGTGCATGTATAAAGTCCACTATCGTTCACTTGCAAATCTGCAACGGATCCAATATAAAAATTATTTAACACATTCTTAATACTCGTAGTTTCTTAGTTATAGGCTTCATATATTATATTACCAAATTATACTTTACACTTACCGTCAATTCTAAGTGAGCCACCCTGTACGATTGTATAACGATTGCCATTTTGCAGAGTTGTACCATCTCTGTACCACTTTACACGTGGTGTTGGATTCCCTGAAGCTCGACATGGCAACATAGCAACACTGCCTTTAGGCAATGTTTGATTTGATGGGCCGATTTGTATGATGGGTGGTGGCGTATCCTCAACTGATGTAACCTAGGGTAACAATTGATATGGTTTTTTCGTTCAGTTTTGTTATTGCATTACCATAAATGAATTTTTATAAGCATGAATCGAAACATTTAACGATAAAAATTTGAGTTGGGTTCAAAGGAAAAACAATTCCTACACAAGTTGTTTTATTGTAAATATTTTCATTGTATTTGTTGGGTTTGAAAATGTTGGGGTATATGTGACAGGAATGGGTTAAAAAAAGAAAACGTACTAAAAACTGGTATTAAGTTCTGATATCAAGTGAGTTGATAAAAAAATTTGTAAAAGTAATGTTTCAATTATCGATGTTCATGTTTATGCATATTTAAAAACAAATTTTTGTCAGTAAAAACTAT